TGGAAATTTCTCTATCAACTTCGAAACTGTTTTTGACATGGTAAAAGCCAAGTAAATGCTATCAGAATGAATGGGAGAGGTACAAAGGTCAGACTCGCCTAAAGCCTTTTTATATATAAGTACAGTTCACTAATTTTTCAAAAAAATACATCAGTGACTCACTTCTTTATTTCCTTTACAATAGTTTACTCTCCGTACCAGTTCTTCACCATCAGACACAAACAAAACAAAAACAACAACAAAACAAAAATCTGAAAACATGCTAATATAATATCACCTCATACATAAGGTATTGCTCCCCCATTTCCTAATAAGAGCAAAATTAAAATTATTTGGTCAACCAAAAAATACAAAAATATGAGTATGGTTGAATATAATTTACTACCGTAGGGATACTGCCTCGAAAATCCAAGGTCGCTATGAGTCAGGATTGATTTGACAGCAGTGAGTTTGGTTTGGTTTATTGTAATATTTAACTTATTAGTTGAATATGTTAAAATGAAATATAAAATGTCAGTTTAGAAATTTCATTCTTTCCCACTTTTATTTCATCAAACAGGTGAATTCCAAGTCTTCACATGGATAGTCAGCATTCATGTCTTAGTGAGCCATTTAACATTATTTTCCGGAGCACACCACCTTCATTTTTATCTAAGTTATTTGAGTTATGGCATATTTTGAATGTCTATAAAGCTGTCATCAGGGACTTCACCAGTCTATTCAATACATTTTTTCTAGTTGGGAAAAGGTACCTTACCTGGAGCAGACATAGGTTAAATGGGAACACAGCCCCACTGCTCTTCTTGTACATGAGGCCATGGGGACTGTCACAAAAAATTGTTTCTCAAACCACAAACACTTTTGAGATTTTTAAAAGGCTTATAAAGATTAAAAATGAAGATATAACAATAATCATTATTTTAAAATTTCATTCTAGCATCAAGCAGAGAGGGTGAGGGTACTTCTGGGGAGATGTATGGAACTGGTAGCAACAAAACTAGATTGACAAAACAGGCAGGAATTGAGCATAGCGAGTAAGGAGGGAAGGGTTTTCAAGGAATGGAACAGTATGATGAGCAGAAGGCCCAAAGTGGGAGGTACAGGCATGGATGGGGACAGCAAATTGGTTTAGTGAGAGGGCAAATAGGTATAGGAGAGTGATGGGAGAGATGGAAAGGACTGGTTCAAACTGGATTCAAAAGGGCTTTAAATGCTTCATTAAGGACTGTGGACTTAAACCCTAAAGACAATGGGAGCCACACTATCTGAGCAAAAGGCAAGATGTGTTGTTCTAGGAAGTTTAATCACACTATAATGTATAGTATGAGATGGGATTGCAAACTCAAATGCCTTCAGAACCAGGCAGAGAAAATAAAGGTGAAATGGAGGTGACCTACAGCAATGAGGAATGCGAGGCCAAGAACTGGCAGGTATAGTCCTGCCCAAAGGCTCTGAAAATTCCACTGCTTAATGATGTCTGGTGAAACGAATAAGGCTGCCAGTCATGTTCTGCCCCAGCCTGCCAGTCTGAACACTTTTGGGAAGCAAGGTAATCACCTAGAAGGCACTGCACTAGACCAGTGGCAAGGGCCTCAAGTTGGCAAAGTGAGAACGGAGTGTGTACTACAGGAGGAAGCTGAAGGAGAGACTGCAGTTCTGCGTCTGGGTGACTGTCAGATGGCAACGCTATTAAAGTCAGGAGCAGTAGATGGGGCAGGACTAGGAGGGATGATGTTCTGAGTTTTAAACATGCTGAGTTTGAGGAAACTGGAGGCCATCTAAGTATGCTGACTAAGCATTTGGAAATGCAGGAGTGGAGTTTGAGTAATTCAGACTCAAGATGTACACATGAGATTGATCTGCATGGTTACTAGAGAGACCAGGGGTTGGGTGAGGAGCTTGGGACATACCTATGGACTTTGTGCTATGCTCCATGAGGGCAGGGACCATCCTGCTAAATGGTGAACTGTTGCAGTGTGGTGTTGTTGCTATTTTGCCATCGAGTCGGACCCGACTCATAGCAACCCCTCCTTGGGTTTCTGAGGCAGTATCACTACAGAAGTAGATTGCCCAACCTTCCTTCTGAGGAGTGGCTGGTGGGTTTGAACTGCCAGCCTTCTGGTTAGCAGTCAAGTGCCTTAGGCACTACGCTACCAGAGCTCCTCTGTTGCAGTGTAGGCATGTTATATTAACAGTTGTTGAACGAGCCAATTTCTCTGTTGTATCCCCAGTGTATCACTATCAGAAACCTGGCATACACCTGCACTCAAGAGGAAGAGGAGAGCTCAGGGAAGAAGTTAGCTGGGGAACCAGCAAAACCTTAAACTTATCAGAGAAGCCACTGGAGGATAAACATACAAGGGGAATGTATTCTATGGTGCTAAACGCTAGGAAATGTGGGGAGGGGTTGGTTGGTTCTAAAATATGGCTCATCTCACTTCGCATCTTAAAGCAATTTAAGTGTGTGCTTAGTAGTCTATACCATTTCTCCCAGAAAAAAAGATTCAGTCATATATATATATATATATATATATATATATATATATAGTATATATATATCACAGTTTTTTTCTAAGGATATATAAATAGCTTAGCAGTTGTTACTTTGGATAAGAGGCCTATTTGGGTAAGAGGCCTAGGCCTCCTGGGGAGAAAGAGTTTCTTTCCATTTTAAAGCTTTGAAATAGCTAAAATTTCTTACTATGAGAATAATTTACTTTCTTTTGTTTCCTTTCTAAAACTCCTACAGGGGTTCTTTGGATACTGGGATTATGGACCACTCTTTTCTTGGTGCTTTTACATATTTTAAAATTCACACATATGTTTACATGTATTTTCCACTGCCTCCAGAAGAAATCCCATTTGTTCACCCTTCCTAGTAGGCCTCCAACCAGCTTTTCTAGTTTCCTCTCCCAGTACAGACAGGCCCACCCACACTCCAGCTGCCAGAGCTGCCCTCTCACCTGCACTCTCTGCACACAATCCCTTTCCCTGCAATGTCCTCTGCAGTTCCTCCCCCACACCACCCTCCCAGATTGGTCAGGCAGAGACAGTGTTCCTGTGAGCTGCCAACAGTACCCAAAAGAACTCTCCATTCCTGCCCAGCAGCCAGTGAAGTGGGGTATTCGGTGAACCGCCTCCCTCAGCAGCCCCAGGGGGTGGGTCGCAGAGCCCAGAGCATTGCCTGGGCCTAGGCCTCCATCCTGCTGGAGTGAATAAGTCCTGTAGCCCCACACCCTACTTGCAGAAACTGGGGGCAGGGATGGGAGCATAGTTCTGTGGGCTCCACCACACTCAGGGGGTCTCTCTGAGAAGCCAGGGACTCCTGGTCATCCACTCGTGCTCTCAATCAGCCTGTCAAAGGCTCATCGGGTAATAAGGCAGCCCTCAACTTTCTTTTTTTCTTAGCCTGTATTACCATCTACAACTTTGTATATGTGTTTCCTCCCAAGTATTAAGCCTGCGAAGGCAGGGCTTTTGTTTTGTTCAAGGCCTAGAACGGTGCCTGGCATACTGAACAGGAGGCACCCGCTTATCTCTTAATTAAATGATGATATCAGATGCTCAAAAAAAATTTGTTAAGTCACAGGCGAGGCAAGCCTTTGCGTTTGCTCACTGGGTGATGCCCAGGGACGCCTAGGGCAGTGAGTTGGGTGGGGTGCTGGTGGGCAGCTCCGCGGATATGTGAGTAAGGTGTCAGTGGGGTGGCCGAATCTGTTCTCGGAGCAGCTCACCCACCGTCCAGGCTCGTTTCACCTGGACTGGGGGTGGCTTCTCCGGCAGTGGGGCAGGAACGCACCTATGTTATCGTGCTTTGGCAAAGCTGGCCGAGGAGGGGGTGCAGAAAGGACACAGTGGGGTTTCCTCTGGCCCTGCGGCCCCCATCCCTGCTCTGGTCCGCGCCACAGACGCGGTCCTGGGCGCTCGGCGTCAGGGGGAGGGGGCGGCTCCACGAGCGCCGGCGAGGAGACCCCGCCCCACCCCGGCCAGTACCTTGGGGCACTTCTCGTAGTAGTACTGCTGCGTGCGGATCCAGCGTCCCACCAGGTGGTCGCGCACCGTGTGCGCCAGCGCGAAAAAGTAGTCGCGAGGGGTGGCCACGTTGCGGTCCTTGACCAGCGTGAAATGCAGGTGCCGATTGAAGCCCTTCTTCAACTCCGCCACGTTCTCCACGCCCACGATGCCGCGGATGCTTATCTGCCGGCGCTTTTCCTGGTCAGTCAGAGGCTTCGCCATGGCAGCGGTGCGGGCCTGGGCCGGGCTTGGTGAGCAGCGCAGCGAGCGGGATGTGCGGCCTAAAGCGTCCGGGCGGGCGCGGGAAGGGCGGAACCGGGCCCGCGGCCCCACTGCGGCTATTGAGAAAGAGGAAAGTTTGGGGTCCGCCCCTCGGCGCGGCTCCGCCCCTGCAGCGCCTCCCACGGTTTCTGTGTGCGGGGCGGAAGCAGGCGCTTGGCCCTTCCCGGGACTCTGAGGGTGCCAGAGAGAGCGTCGGGGTAAGGGTGGGAGCCACGCTCGCTGCACCCCTGCAGGAGAGCTCTGCGGGCCGACGCGCTTGGGTAGGGTGCGAGTGAAGAAGGACCCTGTCTGAGCCCTCTTGACGGCCTGGTGATCCACAGGTCAGGTAGCCACTCAGAGGCTCCCTTCCGCTTCTGGAGAATCCAGGATGGCAGGCTGTGCCCTGCCCATCCCCTCTAGATTCTTGAGGTTCAAGGATATAGTCTCCGTGTGAAAACATGTTGTTGGCAAACTTTGTTTTAGGAATGTTAATTTGCTGTGTCCTTACTATTGTTAATTTTCGCCTGGAGTGGATTCCACCACAGCATTATAACAGATCTTGGAAGGTTGGAAAGCTTTCACTTCTGTTGTCTTACCCCCTCCCCCCATCAGTCTTTGGCTTCACCCATCTTGGATCCCAAGCTTGAGAAAGCAAGCCTAAAATGCTTTAAGTTTTGCACCCCGCTCCGAATCAGAGATTTGGGTTCTTTGACTCCTTAATCAATACTTGCCTTGACCACAGCACCCTGTCCACAAAGCCCTGCCGCTGTTTATCTGTAGGGATAAGTTAATGAGATTCAGGGACTCTGCCAATCGCCGCAGGCAGCTTCGGGCTGATTACATGGTCTTTATGTTAAGTTTCTTGCTCAAATTATGGTTTAACCATGAGGGGTGAGTGGGGAGGTGGGGAGAGACTAGAGAAGGACTTGTATGTGAAAAATTAAGGGATTCCTCACACAGAGGTTGCCTTGTTTACATAAAACAACCGGGTCTGTGTAATCTTCAGTACAGTCTGATCTTTGCACCTTCACCTCCCTCCCATTTTGGAGGTTTTTTTTTTTTTGGTATGTGGTTTTGTTTAAACCCTGGTAAGTGCAAACATACAGTATTTTGTCAGAGACTTCTTGTTCAATGGATATTATTAATCTTTCATTTTAAAAATAATCTATTGCCCGAGTTGAGTTACAAAAATTTTAAGACTATAATTTATGTTCATATAATTTACCTTTAAAAATAAATCAAACCTGATTATTTTCAAATTGGTGCATTGAGGGCTGGGGGATTGGGCTCAGGCAAAATGTAATCCTCACCACAAAAATGAAAATTAAGAGGATATAAATTTGGTGAAACATCCAGGGCCCACCCAGTTCCAGTTTAGGGGTTTTAGATTTAGGGAACAGAGCTGAGACTGAGTTGGGCCCTACGCAATACAGATGAAAAACTGTAGGGAAAGCATAGGAAAGTATGTGTAGGCAAAATGAGGATGGTGAATGCCAGAAATACCGTGCATTCGTAATGGGAGTGGAGTCCCCATCAAAATAATTGATCTTGAAAGAAGAGGTCTCTTGATAAATATCATCATAATCTGTTTTCAATAACCTTTCAATAATCCTAAAATGGTGACACCATTAAGCCAGTTACAGCCATTCACACTCTGGTGTGAAGTAGTTCAGTGTGCTTTAACAGCTGGTTGAGAGAGTAGGGCAGCACAGTGGGGTGGCATGAAGGGAAGCTAGATCTGAGTAGTTCTTATTTCCAGAGAGATCTCTGAGGAGAGAAGGCAAACTAATGCCTGCACACTTGGATGGGGAGTGAGGAATCAGAGGGTGCAGGAAAAAAGGAAATAGAAGACACCGAAAGGAAACTTACTCTCTTGCTTAATTTTGCTTAGTTGTGTTCTGTTGAGTCAATTCCACCTCAAAACCCAGAAACCAAACCTGTTGGTGACCAAGAAAAAGACCACCAGAAAGACATGATTGCAAGGCACATGTTCTAACAACAGCTAAGAGAAGGCAAGGCCTCTCTTACAGTTGAATGCCTACTTGGCAGAACTTAGTGTTAGGAAAAAACATTGTTCCAGTAAAAAGTATTCATTATCTTGATGGAACATTTTACCTAAAAATAATATCCTTTAGTAATCATATTATACCTTAGAATAATGTATCCTAGTAATTATTTTGGGAGCTCTGGTAGCATAGTGCCTAAGGTACTTGACTGCTAACCAGAAGGCTGGCAGTTCAAACCCACCAGCCACTCCTCGGAAGGAAGGTTGGGCAATCTACTTCTGTAGTGATACCGCCTCAAAAACCTGAGGAGGGATCACTATGAGTCAGGTCTGACTCGAGGGCAAATAACAACAACAATAGTAATTATTTCATACCTGAGAATAATGTACCCTAACAATCATATTATGTTTCAGAATGATGCATTTTAGTGATTATTTACTATTCCTGTAAGAGATATTAACTCAATTAATCATTTGTTACTTTTGGGCATGGGAAAAGACCTCCGGGTATGGGAAAAAGTAAAATTTTAACCTTTTAGATAATACTTGATTGTATTGTAGAAAATACTTGATTGTTTTAAGGAAATACCAAGAATAATGATGTAATCGTGTATTGATGTATAAATAAAGCAGAGCGGGTACATCAGGGGTCACTCTTGCATCATACACAGAGTGTCCACCTGCCTCCTGTTCCTCTTAAATCTTTTACCCTTTCATATTGCTTTGTTTCATGACCTGTGTTGTTTTGCCGGATGTGGCAAGTGGCACCCAACATGCGGCATGGAATGGAGCAGCAAGTGGCCCCAAGAGGACACCCCACTGAGTGGAAATCAAAGCTTCATAATGAAAAAGAGTGTGGGTGAATTTACTAAGTTTTTACTTTAAGCCAGGCTGACATGGAGAATGTAGGATCTCATGAGAGGGATTGTTATATTTCTGCTCTTAAGGCATTAGTTCAAGCTAGAGGTTTTTCAGTGTCTAAAAAGGAGCTGGAAGAATTTTTTACAGTGTGTAGATCACTGTTGCTCTTGGTTTCCTCGGGAAGGGGCAATTGATTTGATGGCCTGGGAAACCATCAGTCAACAGATGAATGAGTGTTTAAAAGAAGAAGGGCCGAAGGATTTTCCAGAGCATTTATTTTCAATTTGGAGCATTTTAAAGCTGTGCTTAGAATTGGATAAGGGACTAAGTGTGGGCATAGATTTTAAATTACAACAGTTAAAATTGAAAGAAGAAATAGTTAAGAAAAAATTGGAAACTGAACCCTCAGAAGTAAAGGAAGAGAAGTTATATCCTTCTTTAAATCCATTTTTAAATCAGGCTATTTCAGCTGTACCATGCCCTTAGCATTTGCTCTCCTCCACCTTTTAACCTCTTCCCTCCCTCAGGGAAACAAGTTAACTTTATCATCCACCTTGTCTGCTTTATCACTTATACAAGCTATGGTTCAAAAGGCAAGGGCCATGGATGAGGACATTCCACTAGAATTGAGACATGTTTTTTCCTGTAACAGAGCAGTTAGACCCTCAGACTAATCAACTAATGCGAGGACATAAAACATTTTCCTTTAAAACTCTCAAAGACTTGAAACAAGCTGCTGCCACCTATGGGCCAATGGCACCATTTGTAAAAACCTTAATAGAAGCCATTGCTCAAGAATTTTTGTGTCCTTATGATTGGTATATGCTGGCTAAAACTGCATTAGAGGGAGGAGATTATTTGATGTGGAAAATGTATTTTCATGATTTCTGTACAGAGCAGAGTATGAGAAATCAACAACACAATGTTGCCATTAATTTTGAAATGCTTTCTGTTACAGACAGTTTTTAGATGTCATGACTCAATTAACCTATCCATTGCAAGCATATCAACAGGTATCAGCTGCAGCCTCTCAGGCTTGGTTCAAACTACTGGCTAAAGGAGCTGATAATTCTAGCTTTACTAAAATTATACAAGGGGCCTGCAGAACCCTTTGAACAGTTTGTGGATAGGATAGTATAGCAGTAGCCCCTATCTAGGGAGAAACTTGCAGCATTACATGAACTTGTTCAGCACCAGTTGGTTGCTGGACACATTGAACACTCTAATAGTCCATGGAATAGTCCAGTATTTGTTATTAAAAAAAAAATCTGGCACATGGAGAATGTTAACAAGATTTGCAAGCTATTAATCTTATCATGCAAACTGTGGGACCTTTACAACCTGGCCTTCCTTCTCTAACAGTGATACCTCTTGATTGGCATTTAATAATTTTAGACTTAAAGGACTGCTTTTGTACTATTCCATTGCAACCACAAGATAAGATTAGATTTGCTTTCTCTATCCCAGAAATTAATGTTCAAGCCCCCGCAAAGGGATATCATTGAAAGGTTTTACCTCAGGGCATGAAAAATAGTCCTGCTGTGTGCCAAAACTTTACAGCATGTGCAATAGAGCAAACGTGATCTGTTTTGTCACAGGCTATTATTATCCGTTATATGGATGATATTCTTTGCAGTCACCCTGATAAAGACATATTAAATCAGATTTTCTTACATTTAAGTGAACAACTTTCTTGTCATGGTTTGAAAATAGCTCCTGAAAAGGTT